TGGTTCGAATCCTGGCACCACATGCTGTGCCAGACTCATCCCCAGGGCAGGCTGAGCCAGCCATAAATAAACAAACAAACAAACAAATAAATCAATAGCAAAAATGCCTCCAGACACAGGATAGGCAGAGTCCTGGGAATAAAGAAATAGACCTTTGTAAGACACTGGATTCGTTACCACACAACAAATAAAATATGATTCGAACACCCCAAATACAGTGTATGACAAAGAAAGCCTGTCCTCTTAAAAGTGCCTTTTGAAAACCTACTCTCTCGGCAATTTAGGGGCTTAATTTTTCCCACAATGCTCCTTTTAGTGCACACACACGTGCATGTATGCAGGAGTACTCCCTATTACTCCTTGGCATCTCCAGAACAAGTATAACCCGGCAGGCCGATGTACAACCTCTGCTAATCATTATTTGATAGAATATGATTAATGTTGAAGTTCATATGCTTTTTATTCTGACAGAAAGCACAAGTGATGGCTAAAACCCCATGCACTGACAGCGCAGGCTGGTGAGGAGGTGGAAGGATGGGAGCCCGCTCCCAGCTGCTGCGTGTGCAGGTGCTACAGTGACCCCAGAAGGCAGTCCGGATGTACTTTAACCACACAGCCCAGCAGCTCCCTCACAGTCATTAACTCAGACAAAGCCAAAGCTGGTGGCCTCATAGAACCCTGCACACGAACTTCCCAGCGGCTGTCTGACAGGCCGAACCTGAGGGGTGACCCAGGTATTCTTTGACAGGTGACTAAACGCACGGACTGGAGTAACCATACAATGGAATATTATTTAGGAGTAAAAATAAAGAAGCTCCCATGACCTCAAAAGACACAGAACAGCCTCTAATGTATGTTGCTACATGAAAATACTTATTCTGAAAGGTTACATATGGCACAGTCCTGCTGGTAGGACATCCTGGAACAGGCAAAGCTAGAGAGCCCAGAAGCAGACCTATGTGTGTCAAGGATACTGAGGGAACATGGCAAAGAATGGATAAGCACGGGCATTCCCAGGCCGATGGAACCATTCTGTGTAACTGTAATGGTGGAAACAGCGCGTTCTGTTTGTCTAATTTCCATGAATATAAATAAGATGAGTGAACTTAATATATAGTTAATGCCAGTTTATTTAATAAAACTGCATCCCTTTATGTTCAGCGTGGTGATGAGTTGCCCCGCCACAGCAGGATTTCCTGTGGGGAAACTAAACAACGCAGGGCCACTGGAGTGGCCCTGCCCCTGGCTCCCCATTCAATTTCTCTGTAAACCTAAAGCTTCTCTAAAAAATGTTGTGCATTTAAGAAAAATCCAAAAGCTGCATATGCACGATTAGTGCAGACACCGAAAGCAGTTGTCCTGATGTATAGCATATGGATGAGTAGCTGTCGGACGGGCCCTCCTGACTACGCACCTGTCCCCCACATCAAGAAATGGAAAGCTCCTTGTACGCCCAGCTGGGCACTGAAGCAGGCTTAGCGTTCTGTCCTGTAGAAAGCCATCATGCTGCCTGCAGGACCTTTTCTGTTCTTTTTCCAAATGAAGCCCCTGCTCCTATTGCTGCATGTGTCATTTTTATTTAACTTTCAATTAAAAATACTTTGCTAAATATGTTGTCTGTCCTTTATTGTTAGGTAACTGAGTATACAATTTGTCAACCTCACTTGTGAAATAGCCAAAGTTAGCTATCGAATGTGTTCTGCAGCTTTTTGCAAACTTCAGTGCATGGGGAGGTGAGCTGGGATCACTGGGAAGCACACTGTGGAACTGTCGCGATTGGAGCTGAGTCTCCATCATGTGTGTTTGTGAAAGGCTTTGCCACAGTGCTTGGCCACGCCTCGAGCAGCAAGGTGCCAGAGAATGTTTGGGACATAAAACTGTCACCTGCGTGAAAAACAACCCCAAATATCCAGTAACCTCTTAGAAGGGTAAAAGACCTGTTTTCCTGTGTTGCCTACATGGAGAAATTTCTGGATTAAAGGGCACTCTGAAATCTGAAATATTTCCCAAAATACAATCCTTTTTAATTTCATCTGTAAAGAGGAAGGCTACCTTTCTACAGCGAGCAGACTACTCATGTAGTTACGGTACTCTCCTGACTCCTGTGGGCCAAAGACCTGCTCATTTCTGGTTCCCTTCCTCAATTTGTAAGTCTTCAACTGCAGAAAGGTCAAGTGACTGCCTGAAGGTCATTTACCCCAAAGCTGTAGAAGCCAGGTATCAAATCCAGATACTTATTCCAAATGCACATCGTTGTCCTCAGTTCTCTCTTGCCACTAGTAATGCTGTACTCCAGCCAACAGGGTCCAGGTCGTGGAGACCGCAGGATCTGAGCTCTGAATTGAATCTCAGCCTCCAGCTTACCACTGTCACTCAGAAGGCTTACGGCCTTCTGGTTGGATGGGTAAACTAAAAGGAAGGAGTATGTGTAGATCAAAATGAGCCTTAAAATTCAGAAAAGCAGGCTGGGGCAATAGCTCGCACTCTAAGCACCGGCCTGGCAAGCACAAGGGTGCGGGTTCAATCCCTGATGCTGCGTGCCTTGCCAGCTCCAGAGCTCCAGTGCACCTCCCCGACCCGGAAGCCAGATGTGGAGGCGCCCGCCTGTAACCTAGCTCTGCTGGGGAGGCTCAGACAGGAGGACACTGAGAGGAGTCTGAGCTGCGTTTTGAAACCCTGTATCATTAAATAAATAAATATTAAACATTTCAGAAAAACAGTGAATTTATGAGTTTACCTTGCTATAATATGAGGACATGAACAATTCCACCATGGAAAGCGGGAAAAGGAGCGATGTGTTTTTCTTTATCTGCAACCCTAATGGACCCCCTCGAAAGAACTCATGGACAACCATGAGTGGGAGGCAGAAGCAGGTGACACTGCCCTGCAGCCACTTCTCAGGGATGCCTCACATATATGGTGGCAAGTGACAACCTGATGCTTCCAGTGGGACTTCTAGGCATTAAGGACAACACAGAAACGAAACTGCCCCTCACATTATGAAAAAACCTATAAATAAGCCAAGGATTTTGTGCCACTGCACAGATGTTATTCTGGGGAGCTAACTTTTGGACTTCCCATCCTCTAGGTGAAGGCAGGGCTGCAACTGCACGCTGACGTCAGCGGCAGGTCTCAGGGGCAGGGCTAACTTGTGTGCAGTATTTGCATTTGCCATGTAGGACATTGTGCCTCCCTTCTACACCTGCTAAGGCTGTCACCTAGCAGTGCAAGTCCCTTGTACCTCCTCTGTCTCTGCCACCTGGGCCTGCACTGCTGGAAAGAGGAAGTAAGATAAACTTAGCTGGGCACAATACCTGTCTCTGAACACAGAACACCAGGCCATCATGGAGAACTGCTTCTTTTTTCAGAGGGGTGGTGTGTGTGTGTGTGTGTGTGTGTGCACGTGCGCATCCGCGCACACGCACACAAGCAGCTTAAATCGGAGTTGACTGGTCCTCCTTCCCCTGCACCCATGTCTCATGTCTCCACATGGACATAGGGTAGGAGTGCTGCTTTTCAAAGACTGGGCATCTGGGTCTCGGTCTCCACCTCTGTCTGTCCAGAGCTGTTCTGAGGTGCTCACAGCAAGGCAGTGCAGTGATGCAAAAGTCTGAGCTGAACCTCAGGACCAGCCCGGCAAAAATCAGTGGCTTCTCCCTTGCTTGAGGATCTGACCGTCCCAAGCGAACCCCACGCCGCTCAGGTGAGGCGCACAGGGGTGCAAGTCCTCTCCAGCAGCGCTCCACACCAGGCCATAGGAAGTCTCCATGATGGTCTCAAAGCCTCAGCACCAGAGAGCCCACTCTGGCTCCAGCTGACAGACCCAGTTTTGCCCAGCTCCCTGCCGACACTGCTGCCTGAAGTGTCACTGCAGTGTTTCTGTCTCACTGGTTTTCTCCCTTGTCTTTCTCCTTCTCACCAACTTTTTATCCTTCCTTCTGCACCAGCAGTCCCTGCAAGGGTCTGCCTGAAGCCTCAGACCCCACAGTGGCCTCCTGGCCTGCTGGAGCCCACACCACCTATTGTGGTCAGGTCCACTCAAGTGCCTGGTTGGAGGCTGATCCCTGATGCCACTGGGTCCAGACAGGGCTTTGGAGAGGTGACCGCATCCTGAAGTCTCTGACTCCCTAGTAGTTCGTCCATGGATGGGTGCACCGCTAAGTGGGCTGTTGCAGTGGGAAGGCTAATTCAAGTAAGTAGATCCTTGAGTGTGGCTTGCAAGAGTGCATTTTGTCCCTCCCTCACTCCTATCTCCTGTTCCCCTCCCCTGTGTCTCCCCTCTCCATGGTGTCCTCAGTCAGGCCCAGAGCAACAGGGCCAAGTATCTACAAACTGATGACCTCAGCCAGCATGAATAATTCCTCCTATAACTGTTTATCCTAGAGATTTTGTCACAAGGAAAGAAAGCTGACTGACAAGGCTTATGTTTGATCTTTATGCTCAGGCCAGATCCCGTGAAAAACCCATTGTCACTGGACCTATTTGTTCAGTTTTTAAGGATAAATCGGAACAGGGACACACAAGAGAAGTCCAGAGAACAGGCTTGCTGAACTTCTAGATATTCATGCCAAAATGCCAACTAGGAATGGGGAGAAAACGGGCTTCCAGAAGGAAGCGTGGACAGTATGTTTTTGGGAATCATCTCTGAAACTAATCACAAGAATATTTCCTGGGAAGCATAGAGAATACAGCTTTAGGAGGAGCAAAAAGGAGAGACAAATCCAATTTAACATGAAGAGTGATACTTTGAAAATTCAGCTGAAAATGACAGGAAAGGGCCAAATGGTAGATTACTAGCCCTGCACACCCCTGCGGGGATTGCAACTCAGTGTGGAGTTGCTCAAGGAGCGACATGGTGCATTGGTGGGAGAAGAACAGCATGGGCAGAGGCCAGGGCTCCCTGCTGCTGAGAGACTATGATTCCCTGACACCCAGGCGCCACAGTGACACGCACACTGCAGGCCCGTAACCGTAAGATCACAGCAGCAGGAATGACTTACTGTGCTGACAGTGAACCCCGTTGAACCCACGGGGACATTTGCAGACATAGCCGATGAAGGTGTCCCCTCGGTAAGCTTCGCTGATCTCACAGGCTCCACCATTGTGGCACGGATTAGGGATGCAGGGACCTGAAAGACAGAGTAGATGTTCTGCTGTGTGATACAAATGCTTAGAGAAGATATGAGATCGGGGGCAACTCACTCGGGCCCCTGCAGCCTCCCTCCCACAGAAGCTATCTTTGCCCCAATAAATATATTCAGCTCTTATCAACAAGACACAAGGTCTGCCCTCTGTAGTTAATGCTTGCACAGACAGCCTTCTGGGTACGAATGGGGTGAGGAACTTCCAGGTGGGATGAACTGAACACCAAGCCTAGAGTCTGAATCTTGGTTTCTGTTCCTTTTGGCCATATGGCCATGAGTACTTAATGAACTTATTAACTTACTTTGCCCTTCTGTTAAGAGTGTCCTTCCGGGGACTGTATTACAGAAGAAACAATATGCATCTATATCTTTCCTAAGTACATACAAATATATATGCATGTCTTCAATAAATGCATACTAGCTGCTCTTGTTACAAGTTAAGAAACCACTAGGTAATAATTATCTGGATAGAGATAGATAGATAGATAGATAGATAGATAGATAGATAGATAGATAGATGACAAATAGGGCTGTATAGACACACTGAAAGTAATTCTTAGTTAAACACTGTCATCAAGGGTTTGCACTATCGAGCATCTCCTGCGTGTTTACACATGCATGCCGAGCAACACACTTCTCGGGCCCCGAAGACTGCAGTGCCTTTTCCTCCTGGTGCCGGGCGCCTATGGTGCTGACCACAGAGGGGCATGAAGCCGAGAGCGGGCTGCGGTCCTTCCCCAGATGCTTTATGATTCATTTCCTTTGAAGAAGCGCAGCGGGCTGAGTGCCACTTCGCAGCTTTGGGAAAGTAGATGCCCCAGAGGGGTCAGTACTTGCGCCATGCATGGAGCCCTGTGTGCACGGATCTCTCTGCCAGGGTGCGGTCAGCTGAGAGCACCCAGCTGCCATGCGCTGTGGTGAGAAAAGAGCCGTAGAACTCAGCGTCCATCGTGGGACAGGAAGAATAAAATTACTAAAACTAAGCGTGTGAGGGTCTGTGATGAGTGAATTCCAGAGTTCAGGGAGGAAGATTAGCTAAGAAGAGTGAAGAACTCAGCTGAGCCCAGGAGAAAGGAGACTTAAAGCAAGACGGCAACTCATGGGCTGCAGAGTCTCACGAGAAAGGGCCTGCCCAGCAACAGCGGAGACCAGGCCTTCATTCCTCGGGGCTGACTCTGAAGAGAAGAGAATTGGGAAGCCGAGATCCCTCTCCAGCCAGCTCAACACTGACCGAAAGGATGAAAAGTCTAAAGAGGTTATGTGCTTGACAAGGATTAAGGTTAGTAATTTGTACTTCATTAGCAATTGTAAAAAAATAAGCATACACTAGCTGCTCTTGCCACAAGAAGAATAACCATGTGAGAGACAGATAACCTGTCTCGTCACAGCAAGCTCTCCTGTAACATCAGTCTACCACGCCATGGTGAAAGCCTCAGCGATATTTATGTTTTAAAATCAGCATGTTATTTAGTGTGTACTTTATGTCATGTAGTTCATAGCAATTAAATACCTGCACTTGAGGTGATCCATTACGGATATTTCATAAAAAACAGAAAGTTCAAGAAGAATAACTAGTTTGGAACCATTTGAATCCCCTTCTTCCATTATGACAAGATGGAAATCATACTGCAGAACCCATAGCTCTTCATCTTTTTTCTTAATTTTTACTTCTTTCTCCTGATAAATCAGATAATATTTGGTGGTGTCTTACAAACTGCAAAGCCATTTTATGAAGATAATGCCAGCCACTCCTAAGAGCAACCCTGTGAGATTATCATTATTTTATCTCTCATACAGATTGTAAAATACTAAAAGAAAATTCAGATAACTTTCAAGCCAACATTTCCTCATGCCACATTCAGACCTCAAAGTAGAGTCAGTGGTTTTAGAAGAGAGAAATGAAATTAAACTAACGTTAGGTTTCAGTTTGTCATCTCCCTTCAAAGTAAGAAAGGAGGGCTGGCCTGGTAGCTCAGTGGATTAAATCACCTGCTTAGGCAGATGTAGGGACTGGGCTCAAACCTTGGCCGGCCATGCTGGCCCTGCCCCCAGGGCACATTGAGACAGCAATCGAGACTGGGCGTGGTGGCCCATGCCTGTAATCCCAGTGCTTAGGAGGCTGAAAACAGGAGGATCACTACAAATCTGATCTGTGTAGTGAGACCCTATACTAAGTACAGAAACAAAAAAAAAATGATTTAAATATTTTATGAGCTGATAAGATGTATCCATATGTGTAAATGTTAAATACAAAAATTAATATAAATTAATTTAAAGATTTACATACTTTTGAATGACTAAAGTCAAAAGAAAATAATCCGATCTAGTTAGCCCCTTTTGGCAATGAGAAAGCAAAACCTAGTAACAATTCAGTGACCTCTAAAAAAAGTCTAATATGGGCAAAAGCTAATATAAAGGCATTGTATCTAAGAAGCAATTAGTTATTAAAACCAAAAGTGAGGGGCCGGGGAGATGGCTCAGTAGGATAAGCACTTGACCGGCAAACACAAGGATCTGAGTTCAATCCCCGGTGCTGCCAAAAATAAATAAATAAATAAATAAATAAATAAATAAATAATAAAATAAAATAAAACCAAAAGCAATGAAGCCCCTCCTTCCCTCTCAAGGGTGTTAATTTTATGTTGGAAAGCCATCAAATCTCTCCCACAGGCCTTCACTCCTCAGCAACTCTGTGAAGAGGATGGAAGGATGGAGACAGTGACACCTCCGCCAGACTTCAGGTGTCCTTGCTGTTCTTCTCTCACTGCTGAGACAAGATACCTGCTGCCCAGAATTTAGGAAAAAAAGGTTGACTTATCTCCCAGTTTGTGGAGGCTTCAGTCCATAATCAGATGGCTCTAAGCAGAGTGGCACATGGCAGAGAGCAGCCATTCAAGGTGACAGAAGACAGCAAGGCAAAGGCGGGAAGCAAGCCTCTTTCCCTCCCTTCAGCAGCATGCAAGCTGCCCACCCTCAGGTGAGTGCTGCACTCACAGCCCCACTCCCAGTACTAGACAATGAACCAATCACACACTCTAGACCCAGCTGCCTCCGAAACGCCCACACCCTGTGACCCTGTGGGGCTGTAGGGAGACATCCAGACACAAATCATAGCAGGAGCAATTGCAGCAGAGACGCTCAGGATGGGAACCAATGGAAGTCACCCCAAAGACCAGGGGTAGATACCAGCACACACAAGATGGCCAAAATCACTTCTGCCTGCCTGTACCATCCATGCCAAAGCAGATAAGTCAGCAGATGAGAGTTAGAGAAGTTACAGGGATCAATGTAACAAGTCGGGAGGGGAAGGGATGGGAAGATCAAGGGGCTGAGACCTCAGAAGAAAAATGGGGAGTAAAATCTGCGAGGATTGGGCTCAGTAACAATACACTGGGATGGCATAATACCGGCGATGAGCAGGCAGGACCAGAGGTGACGTCAAGGCTGGAATTTACATGAAGACTTTATACCTTGTGTTTATACTCTTCTGCTGCTGAGCTGTAAAAGGCTCAAGTCAACACCTTCTGACATTGCCAGTCCTGTGGACAGCCCACTACTGTTATGGACTGCTGGACTATATTGGATTACTTTGCTGAACTCACACACCTACAATATTTGAATGGCAATGGAATACCCATCTCTGGCAAAACTAAACAAAAAAGGGAGATATAAATGAAGAATTATTTTTGTAGTGAAAAAAAAAATATATATATATATATGTGTGTGTATATGCAAAATAGTTAGGATAAATACACAGCTACTTCCTCTTAGCTCAATGAGAAGAAAGATTTGTACTAATAGTATTTGGACAGGATATCATATCTGCATCTTGTACTATGAATAACTTCTATGAAGACAACAATATGCAATGTATTAATCATTGTTACTGTCCCAGTAACCTGTTTTGAAACTGTCTCACTGCTATTTCTTTCACAATAAAATTAGTAATAATAAAATATAAAATTAATTTCATTTTTTAAATTCACTGTTAGCTCAATAAATAAAGCCTCTTGGGCTTTTTAAGCTAAAAAGAAAATTCCAATGATGTGCCTAGAGGCTGTCTGCAGGATCTCTTCAGGAGCACCGAGCTCCACACTGCAGGCTGGAGCTCACACGAACCTGTGCGCTGGGTTTGGGGGAATCGGAGGGAACAGGCCAGGCCTCGCTGTCTGCCCAGCCTGGCTGCAGGGTGCCCGTGCACGGAAGAACCTGAAGATAGCACTGGGGTGTTTGGGTGATGCACTGCAGGCCTCTCCCCGGGGCCCAGCGAGCTTGTCCAGCTGTCTTGCTGCAGTCTCTTCCAGAAAGACGGGTCTATGTTAATTTAACTTACAACTTGGACGGGTATCTGGATTTTAGGAAAAACTTGGCAGTGTGGAGTGTGGCTGCTGTGATTTCTCCTGCTACAAGAAGCCCCGCGATTTTCGTTTAAAGAATGAGGGCGCAGAAAGCAAAGGATGACAGAGCGCATCGTCCCAGAGCCCCTGATGCTCTGAGCGACGTGAAGTATGCGTGTGTCAGCTCTGAGCAACGTGAAGTGTGCGTGCGTCACTCACCCTGCTGTCTAAGAAGGCGTCCTTGTTTTGGAGGCGAGAAAACAGGCTCAGAGACAGTAAGAGAAAGAGTCCACCCTGCTTACTGGGACTACAGACTCCACACCCTCTCCTTCAAGGTATACTTGCTCCCAAGATGAAAATCTGTGTATTGATATGTTAGAGAAGATATCAACAGAATCAGCATGTGTTCATTCATGAGTCTGTAAGCGCTACAGCACTCCTCAAAATATTCAGAATATTTGCAGCGACTGCATCAGGGTGTATTCAGTACTAGAAATACAGATAGGCTCTGCTACACTACGAAGGGTTCTCTTTAGCTCAGCTATGACTGAAATCAGCAACTAACTCCTTCGCCTTTGGGCATCTTCCCAAAGTCATTCTTTAGTGATTATACCCATGACAGAAGAAATGCTGTGTGCCTTGACATAC